AGGAGCTAGGTCAATCAGCCAACCCAGCCTGCAGTAGTGACTTACATCACCATCTGCTTTGGTCACATTTTCAGATCTGAGATAGTAATCTATCAAATAGCAGAGTTCAGGGATTATTTTCTTGTTATTTTAATGGCCTAAATACATCATTTATTATATAACTTAATTTCTAAAATGGCTATTTTACACCTCTGTATGAAATTGAGTGCATAAATTTGGCAACTTCTCCAACAGCTTCTGTAAAATGTTGAACAATTTCAGCTGCGCTGATATTCCCATCTCAACCAAAAAAAGTGTTCATGACAACAGTTTTTGGAGCCATTTATAGCAGGGAAACAGCAGCTGGAGTACTCCAGAAGGTTTTATGCCACTGCTCCTTGTGGCCATCACGGAGGATTGTCAAGGTTCCATTTAAATCAGCGTGGGATAAAGAGATGCACCTCGATGCTGCTGCTATAATTAGCATGCTGGTCACAGAGCTGCATGCTGGTCACAGAGCTGCAGGCTGGCATCTTCCCAGAAACTGGTTCAAAATACAGTTTAATATAAGAAGCTGAACATGGACATGGATCTATATAATCATGCTTTATTTCTTTTAGTCCTAAAATAGCAGACGAATCAAAAGTCTCCAAGTTGAGACTGACTTTTGTATTTGTTATCCACCCCCCTACATCTCTAGTTCCCTCCTGCATAAACATCAAGTTATCAGTCATACATGTATTAATTTCTGACAGCATGGTCAGGTATGACACCATGAAAATTAGTTGTATGTAACCTTTTTGAATGTTTGAAGGTGCTTCAGAAATGTTAATGAAGCTTATATTTGTATGAAATAGATAAGTATTATGTGTCTTTCTTGAATATGGATATCCTACAATATAGAGTCTGTGTATATGAAGTCAGGTAAGATAAGGCAAAAAGGGAGTAAGTAGAATATAGACTGTTCACGTGGCTGACAGAAAGAATAAATCTAGACCTAAGAGCAGAAGGGAGAAAATGAAGGTATGGTGAGAGGAGACAGCATGGTTTATTGTGCGTGAACTCCCGTACTACTTTAAGTAGGTTTGGGTCACCTTAGTTTCACAGGTATGTAAAATCTGAGTATTTGCAGTTAGCATTTCAGTGTGGGTAGAAGCCATTTATGTGGTGAGCTGATAGAATTCCACGAGCAAAAGTAATAGAAATGCAAATGAACCTTCAGGCTTTGAGAAATTAAAGAGATTTGTTGATGGGTTCAGCAAACCAGATGTTGTGTTAAAACACAAAATACCCTCCATTTCTGCTGGCTCTGTGTCTGGCCCACTTCCAGCTGTAACCAGTACAGAAACTCTTGCTGTTGCTCTACAACACCAGCTTCTAACTTCCTCCATTATATGCTTCACATGAGTGTCACTTCTGGGGGAGAAAGTGTGTGTGGTACCAAAGGTGCTTTCCCTGCCTGCAGCTCACCGTGACTGATAAAGTAATTTACTGAGGTGGCAGCTGCTGCTTTCAGATAACAATTCCTTTGCAAGCTCTTTTACAGGCAGGGTTGTAAGCAACCCCACCTGCAGGCTGAGTGGAGAGAAATGATACTTCACAATGTAATTGTAATATTCTGAAAAGGTCCTTTCCTGCAGGATCAATGAGCCAACATCCAGTTAAAAAAACCCAAAGCTTTCAACATCTCATCCTAAAATAATCTCCTTAAAGTGTGTGTTCAGACTGGGAGAGCCAGTTAAAGCACAAAGCAGCTATAACAGTTCCTTGTTGCTGGCATTCTGCAAACCAAATTGTGGTCTGGCTTCTTAATTAAGAATTAAATAGGTATTACTTGAAGGGTTTAAATACAATAATTAGTGTTAACATGCAGCCCCTCTTTCCATTGGCTGTGGTAGTGGGGTATTAGTAAGATGTGATCAAACAGCACCTGAAGAGGCTGTACTGCAGCACATGGTTTCTGCAGGGGACTTTTGTTTGTGAAGGGGCAGAGCAGAGTTCTATTATAGCAATGTTTTGGCACTTTCCCTTCGTACACACTTCAGCTGTTTGTTTTTCATTCCGTTAAAACAAAATTACTAGTGCAGAATTAACGGGTATGGCTGAAAAAGGGCCTCTTCACCTGCAAAAGGAGGGCTGAGGATTCATACCCACCACAGGCTCTGCAGAAGGGAAGCAATACTTCAAATAAACTCACTCCTGGGATAAGGTGATACTTGATAATGGAGTTATTGTTGCAGTGCTGCAGACTAAATAACAAACTGTTTAAATAGTTCTGCATTTGAACTTTTGGTTTAGGTCCATGTCTCAAAATACAAGGTTTAAAAGACTCAATTCGGTTGCTGATAGAAACTTAATTTTTCTCTTTGGGTGGATTGTTTTCCTTGAAGCTCAGTATGTTACTGTGTGTCTGACTTGGTTTCCACTTAATATTTGAGGCAGCAGAAATTGAGGCTGATATTCATTTAACTGCACAACATCTTAAAATCAGTTGTTGCTGTATCGGTTTGCCTCCCGATGCCAGGCTGTTGGACAGGCTGATGTCTGATACCTGGAATCCTCCATCATTGAGGCTATCACCTATCTATAACCCAGCCAGGGCTTACCCTGTACTGAAACACTAAATGAGCTTTTGTGTGTTATGTACAAATAAAACCTTGCCTTTTGGTCTTTGAAGGCCAGATGGTTTCTAAGTGAGCATTCTAGATGGCCCCTGTGTAAATGAAAAACGTTAACACTAACCCTGCACATACACATTTGGCCTTGCTGCCAAAAGAAACAAAGAGACAGTGTTATGCTTAAAGAAGGTAGTTTGCTAGGGAGCAGTGAGCTATGAATCTCCTTCCTATAAACACCTTTTCCTTGCAGGAATGTGTTTGCAAGCCTTTGTGGAAGCTTTCTTCTGTCTGGCTCAGAAGAAATACAAGTCCCTCCCACTCCACCAGCAAGTGACACTGCTGATTGATTTCTGTGAGTATCAGCTCGCTGTCCTGGATGAAAAGCGCCGAGCTGTTTGTCACGCAGATGGACCTCACCTCACACCAGCTGCACATCCATCCCTCCTGGGTCGCTCGGCCTCAGCTAGTAAACTTTCAGATTATAGGAATCATCGTTAGTAACAGTGCTAATTCACCAGCACAGAACTGAGATTCAATCCCCAGGTACGTGCATGTACTGCAGGAGGAGAGACCCCGACTCCTGAATCCCTTCAGCTGATAGGCATAGTTATTTATTTCAGCTTTTCTTATTTATGCTCTTCAAAAAGCCTCCTGCAAGCTCCCATTCTCAAATAACAACCCTGGCAATGGCTGTTTGTTTACAGCTCTGTTGGACCTGCAGCACACCTCACGTGGCAAGCTGTGCTTTCATCCCAAGTATATAGAAAACCACGTGTGAAGACAAGGACCAAAATACAGCAGGATAATAACCAGCATCACGGAGTTGCAGTGACTGAGAGGTACCCTTATGTCAAAGGAATTACACTGCTCTGTATGCACTCTACGTATTATGGAAACCAAGTAAGGAGCTGCAGTCTCAAATACCAGTTGCAGACTTTGGGAAACTGAAACCTGGAGTTAGGTTTGTGATCAGACTTCAGGCTTTGACTCTCTTCTTTCGGTCACTTGGACTGTATGTGTTGGAATCAATACAGATTTGGTCATTGACTTTGTACTTCTTTTCTAAAGTCAGTCTTAAAACACTGAAATGATATTTTGGCTTCTACTCTTTGTACATGTCTCTGCCATGACAAGTACTGTTAATTTTTTAAAGAAAAACTAAAGATATTTATCCTTTTGCTTCCATAGAACTGATAAGCTCACACTTAGAGGAAAAATGTACTTCATTAAGTCAGATTCAGTGAATCAGGCCGTGGTTTTGTCTTCAGGTACTAAGCACTGCTTCTGCAAATAGCTTTACGGTGTAAAGAGTTCATTTAAATTCCAGTTGAAACCAATCCTGTCACTCCTTTAGGCTGAGCTATTGTATTCTAGGTTTGCTGATTCTTTGCCTTTTGCATGTTTGTTGCCCTCTCTGGACCTGCAGTAACATCTAGAGCAGATTTTTCTTTTGTCTTTGCACATATTCTTCATTTTTTCCCCTTAAATAACTGTATAATTCTGTAAAAATGAGATCTGTATTATTTAACAGGCTATTTTGTCAGGAATGCTGGGCTGTACCACTGCAGTTGTACAGAAGTAGTCTTTATTTTTCAAGGAGGGAGCCATGACACCGATAATCACACTCTTTTGGGAGGAGGCTGAGCACAGTGTTACACTGGCTAGAAGGACAGGAATAACTTGGAACTTCAGTCAAATCCTTTTCAGTCTCGTATTTTATTACAAGAATGTATGTCTACATCCGAGTTTGATTTTCCTCCTTTACTCTGTTCTTTAATGTTAATGAGTCTGCTTATGTTCCAGTGTCCCTCGTGCTGTCAGGAATCACAAACAGCACAGGCATTTAGCTTTGGATTGGAGAAAGTTACCTGAGCTCGAGGTCACAGTGTGCTGATGGCTGCTGTGTCAGAGGAGTGACGTTGCAGGAAGCACACTGCCAGTGTGAGGAAGCCCACCCACTTAATGCCATGGACTAAATGCACACACCGTATCGAGTGAGTTGTTACTTCAGGAGAAGTTTAGAGTTTCTTTCTTGGTTTTTCTATTAAGCAGCATGGCACTCCAATGCAGAAGGCAAGCTGAGCCCACAAGAAAGTAATACCTAGCTTGTGCTAATACCACATGTGGGCATCCCTTCTTCTCTGTCTTTTCTGTAACACCAGTGAAAGCAGCAGTAGATGATCTTTCTCAGTTCAATGGCTAGACAGCTTCACATTTTATATATTGTGCATAAGAGGCCAATTGCAGCCTAATGCCACTGCCCTCAGCCTGGTTTAAGTTTCGTAAAGATTATTGCACTATGAAGATAAAATGCCAAACTCTAAGGTCTGGCATCTGTCAGAACAAATGAAGCTGAAAGGGCCATTTTTTTCACACTTTCATTGTAATATATTTGAAGACATTCACAAGTTGAAAAATGGTTACTTCTTACTTGGGGACATCTGACATTTGTCTTGCGATTGGCAGTGTGTTACTAGAAAATAGCTTACAGTTTCTCTCATCCTGTGATTGATGTCCTGTAAAGAGAGAGTTGCAGAAGAGTCGGATTTGAAATGCTACAACTGCGAATGCCTTTCCTTACAGCTTTCTCTAGTATGATCTATGGCCTAAAATACCCAGGTTTTGCTATTGTATAAATTACCCTTATCTCAGTGGAATAAATTAATTATTGTATATAATGAACACTAATAAGATCTCTCTCTGGTTTGGAGATCTTTATTCTCTGGATCTAACAGATTTTTACAGACTGCTGCATATACAGGCTGGTTGCAGTTTCCCCTATTTATTTAAAGGATCCCTTGTAGAGTAGTCAAAATATTCATTTATCTGTCTCTAGTAATCCAGTGTTCATGTATGTACATAATTGGAAAGCTGAATGCCATATTATTCTCAGGGGAGGGGGGGAGATAAAACAGGAGTGTACTTTAGAGACTTAATGACAAAGTCACATTTCTCTTCCCTCCCATCTAATGCAATTTCTTCTGAATATGATTTAACATCCAAAGTAATTTTGCATAGCCTTTAAGTCACCAGTCTGCACACACACACCAGAAAAATGACCAGAGACACTTTATTCAGAACAGGAAGGCTATAATCTATAGGCTATAACACTATAATCTATTAGTTGTGAGGTACCTTTTTAGCTAAAGAAACAATACATGGAAGGTAGTAGGTGTTGGTTTTTAATAATACTTTTCTATATATTCTTTGCAGAGAATACAACAGCACTCACTATGCTGTTCAAGACATATGATATGGACAGTGCACACCTGTGCAGTCTTTCTTGTTATCAGACACACTGGACCTGGTATTCCTCTGGGTATAATTCAGAGTAAAACACTTCATCATCTAAGGAAGATTTGAGGCAAGTGAGTCCAGAATTGCAATCCAGACACCCCCCTTCCCTGCAGGCTTGTATCCGGCCTAAGTGTGCTCAGACTCACTGGGTGATTCCTTGTTTGGTTTTATCTTTCTCTGCATAAGGTTGTTGTAGGCTAAAACAGCTGAAATTTATCTTCTGCCTCATCTGGACTGGGCTCTTGACATTTAACTGCCCTCTGCCCAACTCTCCCTAATACAGCTATGTATCTTGGGAATATTTAATGTACACAAGCAGATCACTTCACTTGCCACATACTTGTAGCTGCTTTCTTTTCATTTAAAACACAGCTGGAAAGGGAGGGCCTCAGCTAATTGCACAGATTATGCTCAGGTGAGAGACCGAAGTCCACCTGCTTCTGCAGGTCCTTTCAGTTGCAGCTCCCACCCCTGTGCTCTGCAGGTGATCCTCATTTTCTTGCTTTGCCCCTCTGATTGCCTCAGTCTTGTGTTCAGCTCACTGCTGGGAGGTCAAAGCCTGCTTGGAAACTCCTCATGATGAAGAAGGATTTAGTTCTCCTCCTGGCTGAGTCTCCTTCAGTTCACTGCACAGGGTAGGTGCAAATCCTCATGCTCTGGGTGCCCAATTTGGAAGGGGCTGAAACCTCTGTGGTGATTCTGGGGGGGTCACAAGGGCATTGCTTCTGCAATGCTGGGTGTGGGAGCCCTGGAGGGCTGTGCTAGGGTTGTAGGAAGAGCTCTGCAGGAGTAGCTGCTGGTTGAGCCCTAACTGGTGCATCAACTCTGCGCTTGCTTACCATGGCATGAATTATGTTCATAGTCACCAGCACAGCTTCTCGTTTCTAGCCACTGCTGTGTCTGACCTCATTCAGATCTCTGTCTGATGGACAGTGGCAACCTGCTGCTAAATATTACCCCGTTCCCTCTGATTTGTTTTCTTTCGATCGTGCTTTGCTGTGTTTCCTCCTGATTCCACAGTTTTGCTTCTCAGCTTGCCTAATAAACTGGTATGGTCAACTTGTCCAAATCCATTAGTTCAGCTCCCTGTGTTGCTGTACAACTGTTTCTGTTGTACAGTGTTTCCTTTTTGAAGGTGAATCTGTCCTGCACCGTCTGTCCGAGGTGTTGCCTTGCATCAGACTTGGCCTAGTCCATGCATCAGTTTGAGCTTTTCTGTGTTGGTGGCTGGAGGATTGATCTCTCTGGTGTTCTCAGGTGGGTGCTGGCCCTCCAGCTTGCCAGCCTCTCTCCTCTCAGCCCCGCTTCAGCTTCACAGAGCAGAAACATGCACTCAAAGGGGCAATAAATTGCAACTCAGTCACGTCCAGCCCTACCAGATAGAGCCCCATGGGCTTCCTTGGAGAATCCCCATGAGTAATGGCCATGCAGGGTGGCGAGGGAAGGGGTGGCAGGGATGTTGTAGAGTAAAGAGGTTCCTTTTCGTAACAATTGCTGTTGCTCGTTGTCAAAGAGGAGGAATTGGATTGTGGGTCCTGCCTGGGCTTTATGCTGTTTGTGCCTGATGAGGGTGCTGAGGTGCAGCTTGAAATGAGGAGATGAAGTTGAAGTAATGGGTGCATCTGTTGTGAGTTGTGCTTGCTCCTGTTTCTGATCTCCACCATCCCCAGGGCGTGGATCAAAGCCTGCCAAAGCAGGGAGCTGTGTGCAGCATCACCCGGTAGGGTGGGCAGGGGCATCCTCTCCTTTCCAAGGTTCTCATGAGTGCTGGGAGTCAGGGCTGTGCTTACCATGGGCTTTACTAACATCATTCAATGACTTTTAAATGGACCCAAGTTCAGTAGCAATTAATAAGTATTGTTAAGAAGTGCATCAGTACCAAGCCCTGGATGGATTATGCTGAGATGATGAAGAGTGTGGGTCTCGGCTGCTCCCCCAGCAGCTGGGTGGGAGCGCAGGCAGGGGAGCAGCAGGGCTGCTCGGATCACAGCGAGCTGGAAGAGCCTGTGAGCTTTAGTGGAGCACAAACAGATCTTTAGAAAAGTGATCTTTCTTTTCTTCTCCTTCCCTCTGCTCACCCATTGCCCTCTGTTCTGATCAAAGAGCTTCACTTCGTTTATTTGACTTGAAACTCTTGTTCTTGCAGCTTTAAACTTTGCAGTTTTACCTTTGCTTTTCCCTTTTATCTTCTTACTTTTCCCTCCCTTATTGTCACAATGGATGGGAGATCTGAACTCTCTCACCTTCCCTCTCCTGATCCTGAGGTTTTTTGGTGTTACCAAGTTAGATCATTGAACTCTATGGTTCTCATTGATGCTGCTGTTTGAGGGAGAGTTGCTTTGCAGGGAAGTTTTGTCTGAAGAACCAGGATCTCCCCACCGTATCCCAGCTCCCCAGTCTGTGGTTCAGCCTGTTCTGTACCCATCTCTGCTGCTGGTGCTGTGCTCCCCCTCCTCTGTAGCAGGCTGCGTACCCAGCAGTCTTGTGCTGTGTGTGGCTGCAGAGCAGGGCTGGAAGTCGGCACAGACTTTGCACCTCCTGATGCTGTTACCTGCAGCCTTTAGGAGGTGGGAGAATCTGCCAGCATCCGGAGTGTTTGTGGCTGTTCTGATGTCTGTGCCAGACAGGTCTGTGCACAGGGACCTTTGTATTATGGCTGTAAAAATCACTTGATAGTGAAGTCAGCAATTCAAGCAATGGTATCAAGGGTTGCCTTTTAAAAGTGTTTAGCAGTAGGTATTTCCCTGTGCTTCTGGCCATGCTTTATATGCAGCCCCACGGCTGCCATCCCTGCAGCAGTTTCCCCATGGCCTGTCTTGTCAGCTTGCTGTCAGGAACAAGCCTCATGCTCATCCTTCTGCTGTGCTCACCCGCACCTCACACCAGCCTGTTCTGCCAGCACATGAGCCCGTTTACTGCAGGTGAGCTGGTGAGGCCAGGATCCTGTGCAGCAAATGGGCATTAACCAGCTTTATCCTCTTAGGAATGGCTGTGTTTATATAGCTGTCACCTCCCTTTGGAGGTGCTGCCTGGCAGGACTGCTAATGTGCCTCTGCCTGCGAGTGCAGCAAACACTCAGGTGTGCTCAGCAATGAGAAACCTGTCCCCAAAGCTGTGGGTGCTGTCACCACCCATCTCCGTGTCTGTGTCTGGCAGCTCTGCTGCTCCATTACTGGGTTTGTTATACCAGCCTCTGCTTTTAAACTTGGTTTTGTGTGGGAGAGATATTTATTTCCCTTTTCTTCTGGTGCGTAGTTTTGGGAGGAGGTGTGAGAACGCTCTTGTCTTCTGAGTCAGTTGAGTGAGCAGCAGAGTGGGTGTGCAGAGATGTAGGATACCCCAACAGTAGCAAGGCAGATAGAATAGTGCAGCTGAGACACTCAGCAGTGCTTCACTGTGGCTTTGAGTAGATCTCTTTTCTGTGCCCATCATTTCTCACTGACTGTGGTGATCTGGATGTTCAGGTACATTTACAGTGCTTGGAGAGGGACCTGTCAGTCTCAGAGGCTTCTTTTGCTGCTGTCCCTTTCCTGTCATTGGGCTGTTCAAGATCTGTATGATAACAGCATGGTAACTAGTAAGAAAAGATGTGGTCTTGCGGCCTGGGCTGTGTCTGTGTCCAGTGCTGTGTTCTAGGTAGTGCTGGTCAAAGGCCAGGGGAGCTCTTAAACCTTTTCTAGTGCAGCAGGGAACTTGAGCCCCCAGCTCCACTTCCTGGCTGTGGCAGGGAGCCTGGTTCCTGTTGTGGGGTGCAGGCTTGTTGGCCTTTGGTTGCAAGGTACAGGAGGCCAGACAAGTGTGTAGAAGGATCTTTTCCACCCCTGCTGTGCTGCCTTGTGAAGGGTGGTACTGGGGAGGGCAGGATGCTGCTGGTAGGGGTGGGAGCTGGTTGTGCAGTGCCTGGCACTGAGATGGATGTGACCTGGACAGCAGCAGCACGGCTTGGTCTTTGTGTGCTGTTACCATCAACTACTGCAGCTCGCTCGCATCTTCTTGAAAGTGAGGGTACATGCGGGTGGGCAAGGGGGATGGCATCAGCCATCTCATGCTTCCCCAGGGAGGAAAGCATCCTGAGGCTAGCATGAGGCTGCCAATCTCAGCTGTCTGCAAAGGAGAAGTGAGCTTGTTCAGAGCCTCAGACGGTTTCTGCCTTTCATGTTGCTGGGAGGTGTGTGTCACAGAAGCACCCAGGTCTGCGCAGAGGAGAGGGATGTTTGTTGTGCACTTGTCTGGTCTGGCTGTATCTCCATCTTCAGCCCACTGCTGAGATTTCCTCCTGTTGTAACTTTCTCTCCCGTTGGGAGCCTCACTTTTCTGTTGGTCCTTGCTGGAGCAGTGGTGTTCACTCTGTGTCACAGGCACACGGAGTTGTCCTGGTTTGTCTGGGATAGAGTTAATTTTCTTCCTGGTAGCTGGTGCAGTGCTGGGTGGTTTTCGATGTAGTGTGAGAATAGCATTGATAAGACACCCATATCTTAGTTGTTGCTGAGCAGTGCGTACAATGGGTCAAGGACTTTTAGTTTCCCATGCTATGCCAATGGGGAGATGCACAGGAAGCTGGGAGGGAGCAGAGCAGGACAGCCAACACGGGATATTCCATACCAAGCACGTCATGCTCGGGATAGAAACTGGAGGAGTTGGTCAAGGTCAGAAGTATTTGTCTGTTTAAATCAGCAGTGCTTTGTGAGCATCCTCCTCCTCACTTAGTGTGTTCCAGCAGCATGAGGTCCTGAGCCTCCTGCTAACCCTGCCCCAACCTCACACAGCCACACTCGTGCTTTTCTCTTGGGTTATTTCTGCCTTCCCTACCTTCACTTCACCTTAAGCACACCAGGAAAAAAACCTCAGCAGCACTACCCAGATAAATCCATCTGGTCTCTGTCTCAGCCTCATTTAACCTCCCATTGAGGAGATTGTATCACATGGTATTCAGCCGAAACCTATTACCTTGCATGCCCAAGCATATCACATTGAATTACCTTCACCCACAGGCCTGGAGTGTTTGCTAATAGCTAATGGCACCTCTTAAGTTTGAGGTGATTTATGTGCACGCGGTGTTCTCATGGTGCAGCAGTTGGTGTTTCAAGCAGGGCTTAGCAAGAGAATGCTGTCGGGCTCTGGAGGAAGGTGAGGAGCTGAAGGCAGCCTGGCCTTGCACCCTGTGCTGGCTTTTCCCAGTGTTCCCATTCCTCACCACCGCCCCATACAAAGCAAGTGTCACTAAACTGGGACTGGCTGCTCCTGGCTGCACGTAGAAGAGATGCAGGAGGGCTC